CAAAAATCCAGGGCTCAAGACACAAGTCTGTAGAATGAGAGCATCTACCACAGAATTGTTGACAAGAATACATTGGTAGACAAAAAAAGAGCATGAAACCAATTCTTAAAACTCAATCAATAGAAATGAAGAAGGACCAAATCTGCCCCCTAAACTACTGATATGCAAGATAGCAACAACAAACATCAAGTGGACAGCCTAGAAAGCAAAAACAGCAGCGTAGCAAGCCATAGTAGCAGCAAAAATCAGAACAAAGCAAAGCAGCCAATCTCAACATAACAGTAGCAAACATCAAGCGGACAGCCATAGAACAGAGCGAAAACAGCCCAGAATAAAGCAAAAATAGCAACAAAAATCAAAACAGCCATAGCAGCAGCAAACATCAAGCGGACAGCCACTGAACAAAGCAAAAACAGCCCAACTCCACATAACAGCAACAAACCATTTGCAGTAGAAAAACAGAACAAGGCAAACCAGCCCAGCTCAACATAGCAGCAATAACCCATTTGTAGTAGTAAAAAAAAACAAGGAAAAAAAGTCCAACTCAACATAGTAGCAACAACCATCAAGCTATAACAGTGGGCAGCAGACACAGTAACCATTGGAAAGCCAAAGCTAGCTCAAATCAAACAAGCTTCAGGAAGGTTCCAATGTTGCAACAGAATTGCGTTCTGTTGAGTTCTCTTGAAATTCAAAGATATTAGCCTTTCTCTAATAGTTTGCTTGGTGGATTGAAATAGAGTATTTGAGTCTTTGCACTGTTTTTTGAAAATTCTCCCATTCCTCTCAGTCCACAAAGAATAGACAGTAACAGAAAGACTAAGCTTTAAAATAGTTGTCTTCATTTATTTTCCTCTCCACTGTTGAGCAGCCCATGAAATTGAATCAGTCCATTGTCTCTGCTACCATTGCTGGTTGCTCAGGAGCATAACACCATTCCAAACCCTATTAGAGAAATTACATTCAAAAAACAAATGGTTGTGTGTTTCATCGGCTCTCCTACATAGAACACATTGTGGGTCAATCTAAGGTGCAAATATTTGAATTCTGTCCTTGATGCTCAGCTTGCATCTAATAGCAAGCCAGAGGATGAAGGTCATTCTTGGGATAGCTTTACCATACCAAACAAGTTTAGACCATTGCACGGTTGGTCCTTCACTCTTGATATCTTCCCAGGCAGATTTAGTGGAAAACTTACCTCCTGCAGTTAAAGTCCACTTCACTAAGTCCTCAGTATCTTGCTCAGGTAGGTAGCTTGGCATTGCATTGATGATTTCCTGCACTTGAATGGAAGTAACAATTGTCCAATTCCATTGGTTGTTCAAAATAACTCTGCTAACCTCCGCGTTCCGTGGAATTCCGGATTCTAGCAAGATCCTTGGGTTGCTTCTTTGAAGGAGTGGACCAAGGGGATGCCAATAATCCAACCACAAGCTAGTAGAGTTCCTATTTCCTACCCTATGGATAATGCATGGCCTGAGCAGTTCTCTAAGTTTAAGCAAAAATATCCAATTCCAAGAGCATGCTTGGGTGGCTTTGAGGTCCCAAAGGATTCTACCTTTGATGTAATAGGCGTGAATCCATTGAGACCATAAATTCTCCTTGTCATTAAAAAGTTGCCACAAGTGCCTCATAAGCAGTGCTCTATTCCAGTCCCTCAATCTTTTGATGCCAAGCCCTCCCTCGTCTTTAGGATTACATACCTCTTTCCAAGAGATCTTTGCTCCTGTATGACTAAGATCAATGCCTTTCCAAATAAAAGATCTCAAGGTATGTTCAGTTCTATGAATAACCTTCAGTGGAAGACTTAAATGAGAGACCCAGAAGTTGTGCACACTGCAAAGAATGGATATAACAAGCTGAACTCTTCCTACATGTGAAAGTGAACGATTGACCCAAGACTTAACTCTTCATTCCACCTTTTAAATAAGACTAGAGCAGTGTTGATACTTCAAACCAGATGAAAAGAGTGAAATGCCTAAATATTTGATAGGCAAATTCCTTTCCTCAACACCAAACAAACTCTTGATGTGACTAGCAGTATCTTCATTAATTGCACACATGAAAAGATTGCTCTTTCCTGCATTAACCTGAAGCACTGAAGCCACACTGAACTGGTCCAAAGAATTCTTAATCACAGAGGCCGAGTTCATGTCGCCATAGCAAAACAACATCAAGTCATCAGCAAATGAAAGCTGGACAATTTTGAGAGTTTTACACCTCCAATGGAATCTGAAGCTTGGATTTGAACTAATGTTGAACTGGACAAGAAGAGATAAACACTCCATTGCAATGAAAAAAAGGTAAGGAGACATAGGGTCACCCTGTCTTAAACCTCGCAGACATGTCTAGTATTAGCTTTATTAGGGAACCTAAGTAACTTTTACTGAGGTTCCTTCCACAGCACCCAAAAAAAAACACCCAATACGTCACGTGCAGTCCTCATGGCATTTCAAGCAAAGGCAACACTAGAGACTGCAGCAATTGCTACGTTTCCCAAAATGGTAATATGGGTGGGTCGTCATCAAATAGGTATGTGTTTGCTCAAATGGGTGTGTCATGTCAGGTGTGTCGTGTGCTCAAATATGGGTGTGCCCTGTTCAACTTCAACCCATTTGCCTCCACGCTCTCTCTGTGAAATATGAATTTCCTATTCCATTATGAGGATCAATAAGTATTTACTTCCATTCAAACATGTAAGTTTACCCACAGTTTGGTAACGTTTTTCTAAATTACTTATTTTGTGCTTTTATTTTTTACCCTTTTTAAAAAAAAAAACTAGTGCTTGTTTTTGTATCAGAAAAAACTGTTAAAAAGCAAAATAAAAATAATAGTACTTTTTTCTACAAATGAAAAAAAATTACTTTTTTAAACAAATACCAAATTTTACACAGCACCCACACAACACACACAAATACACACCTTAATACACCAAGAGAGAGAGAGAGAGACACACACACACACTACTACATCAAAGCACACTCATACACCCACACAAAGTAAGATACTAAACACACACACAGAGTGTCATGACTTGTTTTTCATAAAACTGGAGTGATGTAATTAAAAGTAGGTCTTTACGGAAATGAATTTCCACTGGATTTTAAATTAAGAAAATTTTAGGTAAAATAAGATCTTTCCACATTTGAAAATGACACATTTCAAAATTTTCGATGAGCTTGCGCATTTAAAATACAAAATACAAGACATTCATTTCAAAGACAATGAATATGATGGTGAAAATAATCCCTGCGAGAGCATAAATCTATCATAACAATCCATTATAGAGTACATAACCCACTTTAATCGTCTATCTCATAACATACAACTCTCACACCACCGCTAAGTTTACATTACAACATTCTTAATAGTAGTGCAGCAAAAATAAAAGATCCAAAAGTCTAATACCAAAACCTCATATCACTCAAGATAATCTAAGACAACTACAATCCAGAAAATCAAGTTTTATACTGATAATCCTCAGTGACATCCTCGACTTCTTGATCCGGCTCTGAAAAATATTAAGTGAGAGTGAGCAACCCAAACCAATAGGATAACTTTTCTCAAATCTTATCAAGGTTTGGAAAAAATATCATAATATGATCAATATTATAGTTATTTGACTCATTTTTTGTAAAATAATTATATTTGATGTCCATTTATTTATTTAAAATTTCTAAAAATAAATCTCCATAATATAGAATCATAGTTAGTGCTTCAATTAACGTATTAATGATTAATTTTATACAAGTCATAACATTAAATCTTGGTGTAATTTCATTAATTATTCACATTCACTTTATGAATTTAACATAATGAGACAATTAAAAAATTACTAAGTTTTTGTATTATCGTTACAAAATTATTAAAATATATCCAAGGAAAAGGTTCCCCTTAGAAATCCAACCTATCGTAATACATAGTGAGAGGACGAGTGGAAATACGAATGAGGCGAATGAAAACAAATACACCTTTTAAAGGTAAAGATGGTATCAAGTTTGTATAAGATGAAGAACTTTGGCTACAATAATATATACCAAATATAAGCACTTGTTAGGGGTTAATAGATTCAATATGAAATGGAGAATGCCCATTTGGGTTGGAGAAGTGATTAGACATTCAAACCACTAAATGATTGACTTAAGTATTGAGGCGGATTTCGAGTAGTTTTGTAAATGAAAACGATTTGTAGTAGAGAACTAGTTAATAAGCATTTCATAAGGAGGATGATGTGTTTACCAAAATGTTTATTAAATTTTTAAATCCTAAATAATGTGTGACACTGATAGTCATTGAATAGTTAATGAGAGTTTATAAAACTATGTGATCCTATAGTTTTATTCATTTGAGATTCAAAATTTGCAAATCAAAATTGTTGTATTTATTTTTACACTTATTTGCATGTGATTTTTATACTCTTTGAATATTTGCTTTGTGAATCTGATTGTTTGTTTGACTATCACAAAGTGCTTGAATTTGGTCTTAATTTTTGTTTAATTCCTATTTTATTAGAGACATATTATCCCCTATTGTTTCACATAGGGTTTACAAGACAAAGATTCATGCAATTTCAAAATTAACATCAATAAATGTAACTTGTCCTGTTTTCCATTTCTCTCTTTCACAAATCATGACCTAATACTAATTATAAGTATTTAACCCAAAAAAAAAAAGTAGTATACGAATTTTGATATTTAAACCAAGGGATATAACTATGAGCTTCGGCCAAATCTAGCAACACCAAAGGCAGTAAACCTAAATGACACATGAAAATCAGAGACAACCATTTTAAACAAGTGAAAATTATCTGAAATAAAAATTTTGTAAACAAACATTGCAAACCCGAATTAAGATTAACAGCTTATTCTACTTTTAGCGTTAAACTTCCTCAGTGAGTGTGCCTGTAGTAAAAATGGAAAAAAATGTTAACAATTAACCCAAATAAAAATTAAACAAAAACAAGAGTGGCATACCTAAAGCTTCCTTCTCCATTTGGCAATTCACACAATTCTTGTGGTGTAAAGCCAAATTTCTAAGTTGTCTAGGAGGTTAAAATAGGCATGCCTCCAAGGACTAATGAGCAGTAGAGGGCCACAGAATCCCCAAAATCCAACAATGAACTCAATTGACATACTAATATAAAACCATCTCCAAACTGTATCTCCCTCTTCTTGGTCTTCTCTATTGTCACCAATTCCAGGAGGAACATGGAGAGCTTCATCTCCAGGGCATGTTGGCGTAAGTGGAGGACCACAAAGCCTGACGTTCCCATTGTACGTAGAAGCATCGAAGCTTTGGAGTTGAGTTCCTAATGGGATTCTCCCTGAAAAATAGTTATACGACAAGTCAAGGTAACTCAAAAAATTTAATCTAGCCATGTTGTCAAGAATTCCTCCCAAAAATTGGTTTCTCGACAAGTTGAGAGATTGAAGCGATTTCAACTGGCTAATCTTTTGAGGAACTCTTCCATATAACTTGTTTCTTGACAAGTTGAGTGCAATTAATTCTTCAAGAATCAAGATTGCCGCTAGAATTTCTCCGGTTAAGTTGTTGCTTGATAGATCAATGCTCCATAACAATGTAAGGCCACTACCATATACTAGCTCTCTTCCTTACCAACTAACGAAAACATTATTATCATGGATCCTAGCACCCATATTTCGACCAATTATCAAGTCATATGGATTATAATGGTCCCTGAGTTCAGGTCCTTTATGAGCCATGGAACTGAAATTATTGAAGCATTCTGGGATAGTTCTAGAGATCTTGTTTAGAGAAAGGTCCAAGATTTGAATATTTGTTAGATGACAAAAATTTAAGGGTATGTGTCCATCAAGCTCATTGGACCATAGGGACAAAAAAATAACGACGAGAAGTTTTCCATCTATCCAAAGCGGTAGGTTTCCAGAAAATCTATTCACTCCAAAATCCATGAACATTAACAACTGGCAAATTTTAAGCAACAAAGGCAACTCTCCAAAAAAGCTGTTGTTACGTAAATTCAATGTTGTAAGTGAATATAAGGAACCCAAAGGGAGAGGAATTTTCCCTGAGAGCTTATTATGCGCCAAATTTAGAAAAATTAGTTCTGGATAATGCACCTAATGATCAACAAGCCCCCCCAGAGAATAGGTTATCTAAAAGATCAAGGTAGAATAGAAACCCCTTGGTAGTTGCACATAGGAAAGATAATCCTGAAAACTTATTTCTAGAGAGATTCAATGATGTCACATTGCAAAGAAATTGTGGTACAGGACCCTCAAAATGGTTAGAACTCAAACATAGCCCCGAGCCATAAGCAAATTCCAATGATAAATCTGGTATAATGCCTCTGATTTGGTTCGACAACACATCCAAATATAGCAAAGTTGTAGCTTGTTCCCAAAACCACATAGGGATGATATCAGAAATTTCAGTGCTGGAGATATCAAGATAGAAAATTTTTCTCTAGGAATAAAACCATTTTGGGAAATGAGGGCCCAATTTGCAAGACCTCAATTTTGTAGTTTCAAGCTGGAAAGGAGGAACCCATCCGAAGCTCAACTCAAAAGCTAAAGAGTTTAAAGATAAGTCCAAATATGTTAATTCGGTGAGATTCAACAAATTAGCTTCAGAGATAACACCTTCGAGAGAGTTGTTAGAAAGTTCCAACCTTTGAAGACTGGAAAGTTGTCTGATGCTTGCAGTTAAAGTTCCACTTAATTGATTATTAAAAAGTAACAAATCTCTCAAGGATGAACATCTTGTTAAGTCTGGCAAGATCCCATTTAACTGATTGTTGGAAAGGTCTAACACCCTTAAGGATGACAGTGTTGTAAAGTCGTGCAAGATTCCATTTAACTGATTGTTGAAAAGGTCCAGCATACTTAAGGATGACAATCTTGTAAAGTCGGGCAAAGAACCATTGAATTGGTTTTTAGAAAGTTGCAAACTTGTCAAGGATGAACATCCAATAATTGAGGCAAGGGCCCACTTAACAGATTGTCAGGAATGTACAGACTAATCAAGGATGAACATCCTGTAAAGTCGGGCAATGGCCCTTTGAGTTGGTTTCCCTCCAAATCCAAGAGAGCAAGAGGTGAATTTTGTCCGCACTTTTGGTGCGAAATGCCATTCAATTGATTGCCATAAGCAACCACTTCTCTAAGGAATGAAAATCTGGTAATATCTGTTGGATACCCAGGGCCAGAAAAATACCACAAACAAGATATAAACAAAGAGGATATCTCTATTTCTATCTGGAAATAAAATACAAGAATTATTACAAAAAAAATTCTCACTGAGATCTCTCCCAAATCTCTCTCTCTCTGTTTCTTCCTCACTGAACTTGAACCATGTCATTTGTCTTCACTAAGCTTCCTATTTATAGGGAGTTTTCTGGTCAAATAAGTCAAGGAGAAGGGAACACAATTTAAAGCTTGGGCAAGCTTTGTCAAAGCTTTACCTGTCCACCGCCAACCAATCCACCGGCAAGCTGTCCATAGGGTGGCTACTAGAGCATGAGCTACTGTGTAGCCTTCTGATGGAGTTGGACCTTCAATTCTCCCCCTCCAGAACCATCAGAAGAGAATGTAATTAGACATTCATCCCGACTATGTCTCTGCACAGCTCAAGCTTCTCCCAAGTGACAACCTTTGTCAACATGTCTGCTGGATTCTCCTTTGTGTGGACCTTCACTAGTTTCAATAACTGTTGCTCAATTACTTCGCGTATCCAATGATAACGAATATCAATATGCTTCATTCGAGAATGGTACATTGAGTTCTTGCTCAAGTTCAGAGTACTTTGACTATCGCAATGCACCTTGTATTCCTTCTGCTTAATACCTAGTTCTTGGAGAAACCGCTTTAACCACAACATTTCCTTACCAACTTCCGCTACTGCAATATACTCTGCCTCTGTCGTGGATAAAGCTATGCACTTCTGCAACCTTGACTGCCATGACACAGCTCCCCCTACAAAAGTGTATAGAAATCCTGATGTAGATTTTCTACCATCAAGATCTCCTACCATATTTGAATCTGTATAGCCTTCCAAAACTGGTTCAACTCCCCCGTAAAACAGACATATCTTCGATGTACCCTTAACGTATTTAAGAATCCACTTGACCGCCTCCCAGTGTTCTTTCCCTGGATTGGAAAGGAATCTACTCACCATACCCACTACATGGGCAATATTTGGCCTTGTACACACCATTGCATACATTAGACTCCCAACTGCTGAAAAGTAAGGAATCAGTGTCATATCGTCTATCTCCTTCTTTGATGAGGGACATAAATTCTTGCTCAGCTTGAAATGATTAGCTAGTGGGATGCTGACTGGCTTGGCAGTATCCATGTTGAACCTCTGGATCACCCATTCAACGTATTTCTCCTGTGATAGCCACAATTTCTTGTTTTCCTATCACGAACAATCTGGATGCCTAATATCTACTGAGCTGGGCCTAAGTACTTCATGTCAAAGGACTTGGATAGTTCCTTCTTCAACTGGCTAATCTTTATTACATCCTTTCCGACGATCAACATGTCGTCAACATAAAGTAGGAGTGCAACGAAATTGTCATCCGAGAATCTCTGAATGTAAACACACTGATTTGCAACAGTCCTTTGTAGCCTTGACCCACCATGAATGAGTCAAATTTCTTATACCACTATCGGGGTGCTTGTTTGAGGCCGTATAGACTCTTCTTCAACTTGCAGAACAGATTTTCCTTTCTTGGAACTTTGAAACCTTCCGGTTGTTCCATATAGATTTCTTCATTCAGTTCTCCATGAAGAAATGCAGTTTTCACGTCAATTTGTTCAAGCTCTAAGTTTAAACTGGCTACTAATCTGAGAATGACTCGAATTGAGGTCATCTTAACAACTGGTGAGAAAATCTCGTCAAAGTCAATACCTTTCTTCTGTTGGAATCCTTTAACGACCAATCGAGCTTTATACTTCACCAATTTTCCACTACCATCTTTCTTCAGCTTGAACACCCATTTATTCCTCAGTGCTTTCTTGCCTTTTCGAAGTTTCACAAGCTCATAGGTTTGATTTGTCTGCAGGGAATCCATCTCATTCTGCATGGCTTGCATCCACTTGTCTTTATCCGTATGAGCTTATGCCTCCTAGAAGCTCTCTGGCTCCCCCTCATTAGTAAGCAGAATATAGTCTAACTCCGGATATTTACTCGACGAAATGCGTCCTATTTCGGATCTTTGTGATTGAGGCTCGTAAGCTATATGAGGTACACCATCCTCTGGCTGCTGTGATGGTCCTGCAACATTTGGTGGAGGGGGTTGTTGCTCCCCCTACTCAACACCTTCATCATCATCTTGCTTTGCTTCTGTAGTTTCATCCTGCACTTTGTCATTATCTGTGGCGAACTGTAATGGTGTAGGGTCTGAAACAATTTCCTGTGCACTGGAACTAGAACTGCTGGACTTTGTGGGATTTTCAAAATCCTCATATGCCTGGTTTTCATGGAACACCACGTCTCTGCTCCTGATGATCTTTTTGGCCTTTGAGTCCCACAATCTGTATCCAAATTCTTCATCTCCGTAGCCTATAAAGATGCACGGAGTGGTCTTGACGTCAAGTTTCTGCCTTTGCTCCTTGGATACATGTGCAAATACTTTGCACCCAAAAATTCTTAAGTGAGCATAGGTAGGATTTCTAGCAGACCACACCTTCTCCGGAATATCAAAATTCAATGGTACTGATGGTGATCTGTTTATCAGATAATAGGCGGTACGAACAACTTCACCCCAAAATGGCTTTGGCAGCTTTGACATACTGAGCATGCATCGAGCTCTTTCTACAATGGTTCGATTCATCCTCTCCGCTACTCCATTGTGCTGTGGGGTATGTGGAACAGTCTTCTCATGTTTGATACCATAATTTTCACACTATGCTTCAAACTCTCTGGAAGTATATTCGCCTCCATTGTCTATTCGGAGACACTTTAGCTTCGTTCATGTTTCTCGCTCTACCATGGCATGGAATCTTTTGAAGCATTCGTGCACTTGGTCCTTCGTCTTTAGGAAGTACACCCATACCTTCCATGAAGCATCATCAATAAAGGTCAGAAAATATCTGTTGCCGCCCAATGATTCCACCTCCAGAGGACCGCAAACATCAGAGTGTACTAGGCTTAACAACTCTGATCTCCTCTTCATAGAGGAACTGAACGAGATTCGATGTTGTTTACCAAACAAGCAATGATCACAAGGATTTAGTGCAACATCCTTGGCAACTGTGATGAGATTCTTCTTTGCCAAGGTAAATAATTCTTTTTCTCCCATGTGACCAAGTCTCTAGTGCCACAGATTTGGTGAAGCCTCATTTTCAACTACATTGAGGCTGTCTGAGCAAACCTTCACATGGGTCTTATAAAACGTGCCACAAATATGTCCTCGGACGACAACCAAGGCACCTTTTGTGAGCTTCCATGTGCCATTACTGAAGTGGTTATCGTAGCCCTGTCTGTCGAGGGCTATCCCGAAAAGTAGATTTAGCCGAAGGTCAGGCACGTGTCGGACATCCTTCAATACCAATGTACACCCAACATTTGTTTTTATCTGAATATCACCAATTCCCACGATCTTGGAAGAACTGGTGTTTCCCATTTTCACCATACCAAAGTCTCCGGCTTTGTATGTCGAGAAGAAATCGCTGTGAGAAGTGGCGTGGTATGAAGCTGCAGTATCTACCACCCACTCAGCATCATGGTTTGAAAAATGAAGGCATATCTCCTCATTGACAGAAAGGATAGCCACGTCCTCTACGAGAGTGACTAGTGTCTCTCCGTCCTGTTTCTTCGGCTGATTACTGCCTTGGCCTTGCTTTCGTAGCAACTGGCGGCAGTTTTTTTTCATGTGACCTTGCAAACCACAATGGTAACACTTGTATGTAGGTCTTCCTCCGTCATTTGATCTCCCTGGATCTTGTGACTTACCTCTACTCTTACTTCTTGCTCTTCCCCTACCTCTGCTACCTCCTTGATGTCTGTCTCTGCTCTCAGTGACAAGGGCATTTGACTGGTCAATGCCAACATCATTTATCTTGGCCTCCTCATTGAATAGGGCATCCTTAACCATTGACATGGTAAGTTTGCTTCCTGGAGCCGAATTGCTAAGAGAGACTACCAGCGTCTCCCAACTGTCTGGTAGAGAACTGAGAAGTAAGAGAGCTTGTACTTCATCTCCCAAATTCAACTCTATCGATGATAATTGATTTACCAGACTTTGGAACTCACTAGTGTGCTCGGCAATTGAAGTTCCACTTTTTAACTTCACATTTACAAACCGCCTCATCAAAAGGGCTTTATTCCTAGCAGTCTTGGCCTGGTACATGTCTTCCAGCTTCTTCCAAAGGACATGTGCATCAGTCTCTTGTGCAACATGGTGGAATACACTGTGGTCAATCCATTGCCTGATTTGACCGATGGTTTTTCTGTTCAGTTTCTTCCACTCTGTTTCTTTTGTCGGATCTGGATTTACACCTTCTGCCTCCAAGGGATCGTAAAAGTCTTTACAACTTAGGAGATCTTCCATCCGAGGTCTCCAAAGTGTATAATTAGAGGCAGTGAGTTTGATCATGGCTCCCGATGTTGATTCCTCCGTGGACATATTGAGTTTTTAGGCTCTAAATGTCTCAATCAAAAAATTTTGGGGTTGAATTTTGCAAAACAGAGTGCACCGTTGCGTCCGGAACGATTGAAATAGCTAGGAAAGAGTCTTGGTTCACCAAAAATGGAGCTAAAATGAGCTCAGAATTGACTCAGAAATTTTTTGATAACTTAACGAAATATTCCGTTAAACTTGAAGGAATATGCTGACGGTGACAGAATATTCCCTGGATAAAATATTCTTTAAGAATATTCTGTGGATGGAATATGTTTTAATTGAGATAGAATATTCTTTAACGGAATGAAATATTCCGTCGTCTTCAACATTCCTCCGATCACTGGTTCGGCGAACTTCCGGCAGAAACTCCGATGAGCTCTAGTGAGCTCCGACGGCAACTCTGGTGGCCGGTAAACTTTTCGGCGAGGACCGTGAGAGCGCGTACAATGTTGGATTGATGCGAGGCTAATGGGGTTCGACTCGTTTCGACAAGAGGAATCCAACGGTGTAATCAGAATTTGATTTTGAGTTCCTTTAGAACCCGTACGAACCAAAACAGTGAGATAGAAAAATTTTCCGGCGACCCAACCGAAGCTTTGATACCACTTGTTGGATACCCAGGGCCAGAAAAATACCACAAACAAGATATAAATAAAGAGAATATTTCTATTTCTCTCTGGAAATAAAATACAAGAATTATTACAAACAAAATTCTCACTGAGATCTCTCCCAAATCTCTCTCTCTGTTTCTTCCTCATTGAACTTGAACCATGTCATTTGCCTTCACTAAGCTTCCTATTTATAGGGAGTTTTCTGGTCAAATAAGTCAAGGAGAAGGGAACATAATTTAAAGCTTGGGCAAGCTTTGTCAAAGCTTCACCTGTCCACCGCCAACCAGTCCACCGGCAAGCTATCCATAGGGTGGCTACTGGCATGAGTTACTGGATAGTAGATTCAGCTACTGGGTAGCCTTCTGATGGAATTGGACCTTCAATATCTGGCAATGGACCTGTAAGTTGGTTTTCATTTAAGAACGAGGACTCTAATATATCCTCAGCACATCCAAACAAGTTGTGTAAGAAATGTGGAAGATTCCCACTGAAAAAATTGATTGATAAATCTAGGCTTTGAAGATTACAGAGATTTCCTAAGGACTTCGGAATCACACCTTCAAGTTGATTAAAAGAAAGATCAAGATTGGTAAGAGAAGTCATGTTCTCGAAAGCGTCTTGAATTGGACCTTCTAACTGGTTTGCAGCAAGTCGAAGTTCAACAAGGTTGCTTCCACGCAAGTTGTGTAACAACTTCGAAGGTTTTCCACTGAACATATTCCCAGACAGATCTAAACTTTGAAGGTATTGAAGGGAAGTCATGTGCCTGAAAGCGTCTGGAATTGATCCTGTTAACTGGTTTGCACCAAGTCTAAGTTCAAAAAGGGTACTACTTAAGTTGAACAACCACCTAAACATTGTGGAATCCAAACTGTTATATGAAAGATCAAGGGTAGAAATAGATGCAGAAGTGTTAACAAAGGAAATCGACGGAGAGGTGACACTGAAGAGGTTACACTCCCGCAAAAGCAAGACTGACAAGGAAGGGAGCCTCTTAATTATGTCTACCCAATAAATAGCTCCACTAAGGTCTACACTGCTCATCTCAAGATGTGTCAAAGACGATAGATGAAGCAACAAGTCTAGATTCTCAGCCTTCATGTGGTAACGAAAACTTCCAAGATGAAGATGATGCAACTTGGATAGATTTCCAAGCTGAGAAGGAATAGTTCCACGGAAATTAGCATTAGAGAGATTGAGGTATTTTAGTTAGGTGAGGGAACAAATAAACTTTGGAATTGGAATACCAAAATTATTGCCACTGAGGTCTAACTGATTCCAAGTGATTCAATTCAAGCAGCGAAGGACTGAGCTTATCCGAAAGACCAGAACGATGAGGCCCGAAAGATGGACCGCCAAGATCAAGCTTGATCACATGACCAGTTCGGTTGCTACACCAAACTCCTCTCCATTTGCAACAGTCATTCTTATCTTCTTCCCTCTCCCAAGAAGAGAGACGACCACGATTATCTACGAGGCCTTGTCTGAAAGTCAGGAGTTCTTGTCTCTCACTCTCCCTGCACCGGATGAAGTTGGTATCTCCAGCTCCTGAACTGAAACCAGGGCCAACCCATTTCATGCTCAAAAGAAACAACACAAATAAGACAAGGAGATACTTATTGGGTCTTTGATCATTGATCATCACTACGACCAACGACATGATCATAATCAATATCGAAACAATGGATGCCAAGCAATGGGTATTGGCAAGACTTGCTTTCCGCTCTTCGAACACTTCCCAATGGTTATATATACATACATAGGCAAAGGCAGAGTATGGGTTATCCACTCGTGGTTTGTTCCCTTTTCACATTACTCACCTGTGGTTTTAAAACTTACTCCCTAATAGTTTGTACCAATCTCATCTGAAAACGCTGACTTCGCCTTGTAATTTGATGAGATTGTCACTCACGCAACAGTTTTTGAAGATGAGGAGTGACTCCCGCAAAAAGTGAACAACTTAATACCCAAAGTTAGGATTGTTAATTTTATCTATTTATACCAACTGGATACAAAATTTTAAAATAATAAGATTAGTTGATATTGAATAATAATTGAGTTAAATTAAAGTTATATACGAATAACATGATTAATGAGTATTGTAGATAAAAAATAAAATTTTAATGAATATTGTAGACAAAAATAAATATTTTATAATTTTTAAAATAGTTATTATATGACCAGTTGTTGTAAAATTAAATAATTTTTTTATTGACACAAATATTGATATGAACCCAACACCTGCTAAAAGTAATACTACACAAAAATAACACGAACAAAAGTAATACGACACGAAAATTACACAACATAACAACACAGTTACACCCCGTACCCAAAATGCACTTCAATATACAATAAAAGCTCACCCTTGTTTTTGTTTGGCAATAATAATTTGAAAAAATACACCCAAACTCTTTTAAATTTGTTACTTAATTATTTAAACCGCTTAATGTTTAAAATATTACACAAAACCCCCTAAAGTTTGTACTAGTATATCACTTAGATCCTTGTCATTAATTTCGATTAGTATATCTGTTAGTAAATTACAATTTGATCATTTGTTTGATTTCTTAGTTTTATTCTAATAGATAATATAATTGTATACAAATGAGTGTTGTATTGAATTCTTTAATATATTTATACTAATTACTATTTTTTTCTAAAAAAATTGAGATTTTGTTTGGTTTTTTTGTTAATAAATGATATAATAGAACATGCAAATGTGTTGATTAGGCTTATTTCATATGTTTCATACTTGATGGTGAAAAAATTGATCTAATGTGAAAAGTCCATCTAATCTAAATCCAAACTGACGTGAAGGTTGTCTAAATTTTGGTATCAACAGTACTAATTATGATTTTTTTTTAAAAAATAAAATTTTATTTTTGATTTTATTTAAACAAATGATATAATATAATATGAATTTTGGTTGTAAAATTTAAAATATTTGATATTCTATCTTTAATTGGAGTATAAATGTAATATTTTAAATTTGAGTGGTCTAAGTATTACATATTTCAAAATTCAGAGATTTGAATGTAATTTACTAACGGATATTTAACGGCAAGGGTCTATATGTTACGCGCATTGTATGTAATATTTTAAATATTATGGGAGTCTAGGTGATTAAGTGACAAATTTCAGAGAATTTGAGTATAATTTTTTCATAATAATTTGACCTAGTATGCTAATTTAATCAATCATTGTCATTAAATTGAGAGTGACCTTTCATATTGGATGGAATCCATTGCAAATTCGCTGAGCATGATTGATTAGTTCGACAAATTGGTCCAAATAATATTTATTGGTATTTGCATATCATACCTACAATTTTTCTCCAAGTCTTGCGAAGAAGGGACTTTCCCTGGTCTGCCGTTGGTCGAATGTACCTGACCAAACACCAAAATTTTCAAGCCTTTAGAGCATCCCAGCTCATCATATTTCATATGACTCCATATGAGATCAACCTGAACTTATGAATCTGCAATAGTTTTGCAAAAAGGGCATGTACGCAATACTATAAAAATGAAAAAAAAAAAAAAAAGCACTACTAAATCTCAGCACAAAGACTATCAAAACACACAGCTTCATTTATGTATTCAACGAAGTTTCTTTTTTGGTCTACCCGCCTACACCCATTTTATAATATAAAACAAGACAGACTTCAATAAATATATCTAACAGTTTCAAATAAATTTGTCCAACGACCACCAACATATTCTTAAAATTATTTACATTGAATTTATCCTCCTAAATTCATCACTTTCACTTATGATACACCGTGCCAGCACAAGTTACCACCGGTGATTAACAAATGAAGCGCTTTAGAGGAGAGATATTACCCTCATCAGATTGTCTTCTCTTTCTATGTAATGAGAGTAGAATGGTCAAATTCAATTTTAAAATGATAAGCAATGTGTAAAGGGGCAACCACAAGGGCAGTCCATAATTTGTCCTCTATATTATTGGCCTTCCAAGTTGGAATTCATACAAGATTTTTTATATCCTGAAATTTGAAAAGGAGAAAAAAAAAATCCATTTGAAAGCTTTGAATTTTCAACTCAATAAGACATAATCCTATCAACCCACAAACTTTTGGCTTAGTGCTTTTTTAGGGGACCGCTATGGTATCGAAAGGAGTTATCATTTTAAAGGTTACATCGTTGTGAGAATCTAACTTAAGACTCAAGGAATAATGATCGATAATAAAATATTTTTATCGATGATGAGAAATACAAATTTTAAAGGTTCATATATATTTTTTAAGGATAAAGTTACGGTTTTCATAATTGATCACAATAATCTTGAGATCAATCATAAATAGTTATACCTTATCGTTTATTAGGATGTAGCTTTTTTTTTTTGGGTAAATAAACCAAGAAGATATATTGAGTATGCAAATGTACATAGCAACACAATCCCAAAGGGGAACAGAACAAAAACAGAGACACAAGGACAAGACTGCAACAACCTACAAACAGTCCAACAAAAGCAGGCAGAGGAAGTCTGGGGGGTTGCATTTTGCTCTCCCCATAGATTACAAAGCCAGTAAACAACAAACCGAATTTACATCAGGTGCAAAAAAAAGAGCCTGGAAGTTGCCAAGAAGAAGCAGCCTGTCTATGAAGATGGGTGTCCTTGATTTTGATTGAAAGAAGCCTACTTCTCACCATATTCAAAATCATCATCTGGTAGTACCTGGATCATTGTGCTTATTGATGAAAATTCTATGATTTCTTTCTCCCCAAATAATATAAACAGTGACAACAAGGCATAATTTCCTAATGGAATTCTAAAGATGTTTGCCTTTCCATTGGGTGGACATAGCCTCAATGAGACTTTGCCAAGAAGAAGATTGTCATGGCCAATCACACTTACTGATGACATTCCTCCAAACTCTTTCTGAGTATGAGCATTCAAAAAAAAAGATGGGAGTGAGATTCTTGATCAGCTCTGCAAAGTACACAAGTAGTTCCAATGTTGGGTGAAAAACTATGGATTCTGTCCTTTGTGGCCAGTCTACACCTTATAGCAAGCCAAAGGATAAAACTGGCCCGAGGAATGCAAAGATTGAACCAAAGGAGATGGTACAACACCTCTGGTTTCTTGCTCCTAATTTGATTCCAAGCTGAAGAGGTAGAAAACTTGCCATTGACTTGGGGAAGCCATTTGATCTCATCCTTTTTCTCAATTGTAGGGGAGTAATTGGGCATAGAAGATATGATCTCATCAATAATTCTGGAGTTTCTAGGATTTGTTGAAGGCCACCTCCATTGGTTTCCTTGGATAATGGAAGCAACTTTAGCATTCTTAGTGATCCCAGAATCATAAATAACTCTAGGACCCCATTTAAGAAGGAGAGGACTATTAGGAAGCCAAAAATCATGCCAAAGAGATGTATTCCTACCATTGCCAATAACATAATGAAGGAAAGGTCTTGCTAATTCCCTAACTTGCAGCAGCTTCCTCCAGTTCCATGAACAGATCTGTGGAGTTTTGACTTCCCAAATGCTCTTGCCTCTAAGATGATGCTCCTTGATCCAGCTGGTCCAAGTGTTGTTCTCATCAGAAATTAAGTGCCAGAGGTGCTTGAGCATAAGAGCTTTGTTCCAAGCCCTTAATCTTTCAATCCTAAGCCCCCTTCCTTTATGGGTACACAAACCTCACTCCAAGCAACCTTGGCCCCCTTTTTTTTCATTTCAGTACCAAACCATAAAAATGATCTTAGTTTCTGATCAATAGCATGGAGAATCTTCTTAGGAAGCATAAGATGACTAGCCCAATAAACTTGAATGCTACATAACACAGATTTAATGAGCTGGAGTCTCCCAGCATAAGACAGAGCTCTATTAACCCAGGAGTTTATCCTTGAGTCCACTTTTTTAAGTAATAAAGAGCAGCCTTGCAACTTTAGCTTAGTAGTGATAATAGGGATCCCAAGATATTTCATAGGCAGACAAACCAATAGGAAAACTGAAACACTCAACCATCAACTGTTGTTGCTCATCTTGAACACCTAAAAGGAAGATGTGGCTCTTGGAAGGATTACCCTTTAAGCCAGATAACATTTGGAATTTATCCAGAGCCCGTCTAAGAACTTCAACTGATTTAGGGTCCCCATGACATAACATGATTAAATCATCTGCAAAGCAAAGATGGGAGATCTTTTGTCTTCTGCATCTCCAATGATATTTAAACTGAGGCTCATCATGAATGCCCTGCTCAAGAATTCTTGACAGCACATCCATCACAATGACAAATAAATAAGCAGACATTGGGTCACCTTGTCGAAGACCTCTGCCACTTGGGAAGTACCCTGCCAATTCACCATTAACATTGATAGAAAACTTGGGAGTAGTAATGCATTCACTAATCCATTTGACCACGACTTTGGGGAGATTAAGAGCAGCAAGCACATCGAGCAAGAAATCCCAGTCAACCATGTCAAAAGCTTTCATTAAATCAACTTGGAGGGTCCATCATTCTTATGATAGTTCCTTAGCAATTCCTAGGCCAGAAGAATATTGTCCCCTATTCTCCTTCCCTTTATAAAAGCAGTTTGAGCTGGGTTGATCATATGGGGAAGTAGAATTTTCAGCCTATTTGCTATGATTTTGGAGATTACCTTATAGAGGGTATTACAACATGAGATGGGCCCAA